CAAATTGGATGCTTATCTTGCTGGGATCCTATGACCCCAGCTGACTTCCTGCCCTTTGGGCAGGGGGCTGGACTCGATGATCTTCCAAGGTCCCTTCCAGCCCTAATGTCTATGAAATCTATGAAATCTATGAAACGGGTGTAATGCTCTTGAGGAAAGGGAGCGTATCTCTGCAATGTCACCATCAAATTTGTATAGAGGGCAGAGTGTCGTTATGTGATCCATAGTTTGATCAGGACTGCCACCGTCACAGTTTGCAGAACTCCTAATACACCATTTGTGCATCAAGTGACCGCAGCGGCTATGCCCAGTTCAGATCCAATTTAGAGCCTTCCATGTTTTTCACAGAAGGTCAAAACCAGGAGGCTTTATTGTTGGGGTGGAAATTAGATGTTTATTCTGAATGGTGGTTTCATTACATACTTTCCTCCAAACTGCTGCACTGTCATGGCCTACAAAGGGCTTGTAAATGTATCCACAAAGGTTTCTGGGAAACCAGTTGGTAAGCTATGGAGGTTCTTTAAATCTGTATGGATGGGGTGGTCTGGGTTGTCATTCGTGGGGATGACCTCTCTGTATGTAGCTTCACCACAGCGGATGTCTGAAGGAGCAATATTGCCCAGCACCAGTAACCATTGAATTGGTGTAGATTTCAGCATTTTAGTGATAGCAAGCATTGCAGAATTTAATGGATATCCACACATTTGGCATGAGCGCTAGCAGCCCAGACAGGTACTCGGTTGCTGAGAACACTAGTGCCACAGCAGAGGTGTGGAGTATTCCCATGGTGGCACCTTAGCTCATTCCAGCTACTTTTTGCACTTCATTCACCTAACTCTAAATCTTCGCAGCTGTTTTTTGAAGAAGATTATGAGGAGCTAAGGTGCAGTCAAGTGTCACACCTAGGTAGGACAGAGTTGGATCACATTGTAATATTTCTCTGCAAAAAGTGATGTTGAGATGGACATGTTGTGGTTGTTTAGGTAAAATGCTGAGTTGACAGATTAGTTGGATTTTGTCACAGCCTCCACTCGCAGAAATATTTTACCATTATTGACAGGTCTAATGTCGGCACATCTTCAATCCCTTTGAAGGTCCTTACCTGTGTGATTAGTGCCAGGTCATTGGCATATGCAAATTTTCTCGAACAGGTAGCAGGCATATCACTTATACAAACGATGAAGAGAGTCAGGGCAAGAACACTTCCCTGCAGACGGCCATTATTTAGAGTCCTGGTACACGGGAGAAGGCATGACAGTTTTAG